TGGAATGAATTCAGAGATTAATTGCAACATCCCTACATTGCAATACATCACTTTATGTCTGATTTTAACAGCTAGAGCTTCCAAATTTGGACACATGCCAGCAATATCTACGTACACAAGTGAATGCATGCGCACTCTGCTGCTGGAAAGGATCCAGAAAAACACCCAATCCTCCTTCTGCTCTGAGCTTTTCAGTTAGGACATAGAGCTGAAGGAGGCACAGCTAATCCCAACAAGTGATCTGTAATACTAACACAGACTAAATATTTGTTGCTTTTCAAAGCATCTTTAAGCAATTTTTAAAAAATATTCCTTTGTTAGGATTCTGTTCTTACACACTATTTAACCAGGGGTGTGATCACACGCACAATTAGCCGTGCCATAGGCACGAACGCTGGGCGGATTTAAAGGGCGCGATCAGACAAAAGCATCTGCCCAGCGTCCTGCACCCGCCAGCAACCTGTTTTGCTCTGCCACAGAAGCGGAGTAAAAGGACACTGGGGAAAGTCCAGTAGCAAATGGGTTGCTATGGGCCATAGACGGACTTTCCCCTGTGTGATCGCTCTAGCACACTCTCATGGTGTTGGGATGGTCTGATCAGGCCATCCTGACTCTGTGTCATTGTTTTTCCCCCCTTCTCAGTACGTGCATCATCGTATACTGCCGTAGGAAGCCCTCAGTGTGAAGGTGCGATTAATTGATCTTCCGTTTAAGTGAATCGAAAACAAACAGCAAAAGACCCCAACAGACTCTCCCACGATTGCGTCTGATCACGCAGTGGCGGGCTATGCCCGCAGCTTAAAAGAACTGTGTGACTGTGCAACTGCCGGTCAATTTCCTCTGGGGGAAATAGCCTCGCTTCCCCCGTGCATTATCTCACGCATGTGACTGCAACCCAGAGTTAGCAAGCAGTACTCAATTTTCAGTACACCAGAAAAAAAACTTATGTATCCACTTAAGAACCATGGCAAATCAGTCTCCAACAGATTGCGAAATTTTGTTCCTTGGTGGTAGAAGCGCATCAGCATGATGGTTGGCACTCGGGTTAGGACTGTTGATTTTAACTCGTACCGTTCCCTTTGGTAATATGTTTTATTCTTTTATACTATACTGTGTTTTATGGCAGCGTACTTTTAGTTTGGTTTTAATGAACGTAACGTTTATAATGTTAGCTCTTTTTACCTTGCTGAATTTTGGAAATTTTACTATTTGGCCATTGTAATTTATTTTTTCTGGTTTTATATTGCTGGCTAATAGCTGTTACAATAAAATTCATTCATTCATTCATTCATTCATTCTCTAAAGTAGAACAACGTCTGAGTCCAGTCAGTGGCACCTTTAAGACCAACAAATACCCAGATTAATTAAATTTTGTTAATCTTAAAGTAACCACTGGACTCAAACTTTGTTCTGCTGCTTCAGACCAACATGGCTACCCACCTGAATCAGTCTCTAAACTGTAATTGATATATAGCACTGGTAAAATATTATATAGCAAGATTGTACTTTGAAAATATTCATTTGTACAACATACTTGTGAGGCAGGCCACTATTGCTCCCATTTTATAGGTGAAAAAATTGAAGCCAAAGAATAATAATGTGCCAATGCCATAGAAGCTGTACATGAATGCAATCCTGATATTTGAGCACATTAAAGTGTCGTAGATCCCTCTTACTTGATGGCTGAACATCAACAGCACTTAGTAATAATTAACTTTGCTTATCTCAAGCGAACCATCCACAGTTGTCAACGTCCTGGAGCCATAAGAACATAATAACATAAGAGACGCCAATGTTGGATCAGGCCAAAGGCCCATCCCGTCCAACACTCTGTGTCACACAGTGGCCAGAAATACCAGTGCCATCAGGAGGTCCACCAGTGGGGCCAGGACATTAGAAGCCCTCCCACTGTTGACCCCCCCCAAGCACCAAGAAGACAGAGCATCACTTGCCCCAGAGCCCCTAGCTATACCTTGTGGCTAATAGCCACTGATGGACCTCTGCTCCATATGCTTATCTAATTCCCTTTTGAAGCCGTCCATGCTTGTAGCTCCCACCACTTCCTGTGGCAGTGAATTCCATGTGTTAATCACTCTTTGGGTGAAGAAGTACTTCCTTTTATCCGTTCTAACCTGACCGCTCAGCAGTTTCATGGAGTGCCCACGAGTTCTTGTATTGTGAGAAAGGGAGAAAAGTACCTCTTTCTCTACCTGCTCTTTCCCATGCATAGTCTTATAAACCTCGATCATGTCACCCCTCAGTCGTCGTTTCTCCAAGCTAAAGAGCCCTAAGCACTTTAACCTTTCCTCATAGGGAAAGTGTTCCAACCCCTTTATCATTCGAGTTGCCCTTTTCTGCATTTTTCCAAAGCTATGATATCCTTTTTAAGGTGTGGTGACCAGAACTGCACACAGTATTCCAAATGAGGTTGCACCATTGATTTATATAGGGCCATTATGATATTGGCTGATCTGTTTTCAATACCCTTCCTAATAATCCCCAGCATAGCATTGGCCTTCTTTATTGCAGTCACACACTGTCTCGACATTTTCAGTGAGTTATCCACTACAACTCCAAGATCTCTCTCTTGATCAGTCTCTGCCAGTTCAGACCCCATCAATGTGTATTTATAGTTAGGATTTTTGGCTCCAATGTGCATCACCTTGCACTTGGCCACATTGAACCCCATCTGCCATGTTGATGCCCACTCGCCCATCCTTGACAGATGCCTTTGGAGTGCCTCACAATCCTCACTGGTTTTCACCACCCTGAACAACTTCGTATCATCCGCAAATTTAGCCACTTCACTGCTTACTCCCAACTCCAAATCATTAATGAACAAGTTAAAAAGCAGTGGACCAAGTACTGATTCCTGCGGTACCCCACTGCTTACCACCCTCTACTGAGAAGATTGTCCATTTATACTCACTCTCTGTTTTCTATTAATTAGCCCGTTTTTGATCCATAAAAGGACTTGTCCTTCTATCCCATGATTTTTGAGCTTACTTAGGAGCCTTTGATGAGGAACTTTATCAAAAGCTTTCTGGAAGTCAAGGTAAACAATATCTATTGGATCCCCCTTGTCCACATGTTTGTTCACCCCCTCAAAGAACACTAACAAGTTAGTGAGACAAGATCTTCCCTTACAGAAACCGTGCTGAGTCTGCCTCAATAGGTTTTGTTCATCTATGTGCCTACTAATTCTTTCCTTAATAATGGTTTCCACCAATTTACCCGGTATCGACGTCAGACTGACTGGCCAAAAATGTCTTGCCCCTTAACACAGGTTTAATATGTGGAAATGTGCCATTGAAGCTTCTCACAAAACCCAGGTAAGTAACACTGCCTGGTAAATAACACCCCATTAAGCCTATGTTAAAGGGGCAGGACATTCTTTTCCCTTCAAGTTGGTGGCAACCCTAGAACCGGATGTTTTGAAAAATATACTGTTGCAGATGCTAGTTGACCATGCTTTTGTTAGGCTGATGACTCAAAATAGCACCTCAGGAGGTGCTGTTAAGAGATGGTCCTTGATAGCATTGCCAAGTACCTCATGAGAACTTGGAGATGGTCAAAGGAGAGGCAGGTGTACGTATGAAGAAACAGGATTTTGGAAAATAAAGAGATGGAAACAGAGACTGCTGTAAGTTGGTGGAAACATGTGGGGAGTAGTGGTGCAGGAGCTCTCTTTCTTTCTTGTGATCTGATACGAGGTAGTGTTAGGGTTGCCAGCCTCCAGGTGGTGGCTGGAGATCTCCCACTATCACAACTGACTTCCAGGCAACAGAGATCAGTTCACCTGAAGAAAATGGCTGACTTGGAAGGTGGACTCTACCCCCAAATTGCCAGGTATTTCCCAACCCGGAGCTGGCAACCCTAGGTAGTGGTCCTGCTGCCCTGTAGCTGTGCCTCTTTGCTGTTACTTGCACTCGACTTGTAGCATCATAAATAAATCAATTAAAAAAACACACACTTCAGTACTCTCTCCTCCAAAGCAAAGCGACACTGGTAGTGCTGCTGCTGGGAGCTTCTTGCTGCTTGGAAAACCTGGAACCTATCAATATATTGATTTTCACATTGGTTTCTCCTGTTTGCTTTGCCCCAAGACCTAGTAATTTAGATTACTGTTCTTCCTGACCCAGGCAGATCATTCATCTTCATGACAGGCAGCTAGAAAGAACCAACTGCTGGAAGACACACACACATAAACACAGCTTAGAAATCAGAGTCGCTTATGTACTTTCCAGTCAAGATTAACTACAAGAACAGAGACTTTATTCAGACACTCCTCCAAAGCAGGGTTTATGGATTGTAAATAGGCTATAGGAGCTTCCTCCTCCCTTTTCTCTTTCCCCTCTCCACTCAGATATGACAATTCAAAGTCGAGAATTTACACTCCATGGGGTGGAAGATGAAAAGGAGTTTTCCCTTGACACAACCACTGAAACGCTCTTTACTTAATATGGCCAAGCAACACCACTGAATGGTGAACGAATACTTGGAATCGCACTGCTTAAAAATAATATTATATATCATTATATCAGCATCCCCAACTGTTCTTGAGAGCACTCAAAGCACTTCATACATATTGTCCCAATCATCCTTCCAATAGCCTGCTAAGGTAGGTCAATATTATTACCACATTACTGCAGACGGAAGTGAGGGGTTTGGAGCTGAGAGAACTGTAACTTGTTTTACTTACTTAGCAGGCTAATGAATAAGTTCAAACATTTTGCTCACAGCTTGTACTCTTATAGTACAAAACCTAAGTAGAATCATTCTTAGTCTATTGATTTCGATGGATTTCAAAGGGTACAAGTGTGCTTAGGACGAATGTAAGACTTTTTTGAGTGTTCTGTGAAAATAAAAAAAATGCTGAAGAATTGGTATAGAGGCTAAGAGATTCAAGAACACTACTAGCAAAGCCGCACATGGCATTAAAATAAAAAACAACAAACAACCCCCCCCCAAACCAAACCATGTTTTTGTTGAAATATTACCTGGACTAGCACAAAGAACCTTTTCTTCCATCTCTTCCAGACATTTTTGCCAATGGCCCACAAATACCTACAAAAGAAATGGAGGAGTTTTAGTATGCAACTTCTGTGAAACAGAATAAAATAATGTTAAGTTGAAGGCTGCTGAGCACCAAAGTCAAGAAAGAATCAAAGGTCTGTGACAAGGCTCACTAGATCCTTAATGTCAGTATCAGTTTCATGCTTAAAGAGACCAATTCGTTCAAATCTCCAAGATATGGATACATTGGGGGGGGGGGGGGAATGGATCCCTATGTTTTTGTTGACTGCAGGGTCTGATGCTTTTCTTATTTTTAAACTTGGCTGATATTGAGGAAGTGATCTAGAAAGTTCTAGTTTGTTTCAGCTTTCATCTTCCCCTCACACAGAAGTTCTGGTTATCTACATTGTATGGTTTGTATTGGGGAAATGTTAGCTGTGGTGGATGCTTATTGGCTAATATTTACAAAACCACCAAGATGCCTTTAAGAGAGAAAGAGACTATCATTCAGTTGTAAAGTACACAATTTACATGCATGAGATTCCGAGGTTCAATTCTTATCCTTTCTAGGTAAAAGGATCTCAGGTAACAGGACTGGGAGAAGATCTCTGTTTGGAGAGCTGATGCCAGGACTGAGATAGAGGGAGTCAGTGTAAAACAGCTTCATAAATTCATATTTGCTTCCCGTACAAAAAAAATAATAAATAAAAATCCCTGAAGCTATTTAACAACTTTTTAAAAAGTGTGTAAAATATTTTTGCTAAGATTTATGTAAACATAAACACATACGCGTTTTTAAAAAAGGCAGACTGCTTGCCTGATGTGGGAGGGGTTGGGCAAAACTGAGATCTAACATACTTCCTTGGCATGGAAAGCAACTTGTGGATCCAAGATTCAAATTGTTGGCATGTATGCCTGTCATACAAGTTGAAAAACAAGATTTACTGCTGCAGAGGAAATAGCCACTGTGACTCTACTTAGAATCTTGCATCTGCCTTCGCTCTTACGCAACGTGCTGTAAAACGTTCCTCACAATCACCGCCTAATGCAGATTTTACTGATTGACTGATTGGCTTTTTAAGTTGCTCCTCTCCCAAAGGGTCTTGTGGCAATTATAAAGAAGGTAAAAACAACATTAAAACAAATATATAACAAATATAACAAATTAACATTAAAATGTTGAACTATTAAAATATATGGCTAGCAACATACCACTAACCACAAAAAACAACCCAAATATGTGGATTACCCTCCAAAGGCCAAGCTAAACAATTCAGATCAGGGTTTCTTCCATTCAATATGAAGGAAATTGAAGGCAAACACCTTTGAAACCCTGATGGGTGTGTGTGTGTGTGTGTGTGTGTGAGACGCGTGGACCAGAGAGCGGTGGACTCGAAAGGGAGTCCCGCTATCTACCCCTTCCTTCCACTTCATACCACTCCCTCCAGAAGCTGGGGTTATTTTTGTTAAAAAATACTATTTGTAGTTTGTTACATTGCTTGTGTATAATGTCTCTTCCATTCCGCCATGTGCTCCCATATACTTTTTCATTACTTAGAGTCCACATAGATAATTAAACTATTTTTCTACCTATAAGTAGGAGGTCTCCCAGGTCAGCATTTGCAGAACTAAGAACGTTCTTACTGGAACCAAACCTCAGACTTATTTTCATGCAAACAAGACTAAAGACAGGCTGTAAAAGTCACACAGTGGTAACAGGAATATGTTACAAGTGAATGTAAAAACAGGAGCTGAGACAGCTTCAATGAGCAAAGCCTAGTAAAGACAGGGTGCCTAAATAGCTGAGCTAGTCGCAGCTCTTTGTTAGTACTGACATGCAAGCATTGAACAGTGCAATTCCAGGCAAAGCCTAAGTCCATTAAAATGAACAAGTGTAAACTGAAGTAACTCTGCATAGGCTGGTGCTGTTAGAGATGTTAATCAACTTAAAATGTCATGACCTGAAAAGTCAAACCTTTTCAACCTTTTTTTAAAAATATTTTTTTTATTTTGAACTTTTTGAGGGAATACAGAATAAAGAAAAGGGGTAAGGGTAATAAAAGGTAAAATTACTAAAACATAATATAAAGGACATTTTTTACAAATATAAAGGACAATCCTTGATTCAGAAACTAGAATCTTTAGGAAAATTATATGACAATAACAACTTTAAAAACCACTATAACAACCTACTCAACATTCCAGCCTTTTCAGCCTTGATTGATAGCTGCTTCAGTATCAGTTTTCTTCATACTACCACTACTTCTTTCTGTCTACCAAACCCAACCAATCAACAGCCACATGGCTAATGTGATAGTATCGCACAGCCAACCAGGGCTGGCTATATGACCTTATAAAGCCAATTAAGAGTAAATAGAGTGCTTCCTGAGCTCACTTTGAATTGCCTTCATTATGATGCCACATACTATATCAGATTTGGGTACATGATGCTATTAAGCAGCCAGTGAGGCGAGGAAGTGTTGCCCACGGTCTGACCAGGCACTGTGTAGGGGGACATGTTATCACCACTTCTGGTGGCAATGTACATCAAATGGCTGAATGCTGGGGTCAAACAACAGGATATAACTATTGCATCAAGCACCCTGACCTGGATAGCCCAGGCTAGCCTGATCTCGCCAGAACTCAGAAGCTAAGCAGGAGGGGCTAGTATTTGGGCGGGAGACGTCCAAGGAATACCAGGGTCATGTTGTGGAGCCAGGCAATGGCAATCCACCTCTGAACGTCTCTTGCCTTGGAGACCCTATGGGGCCACCATAGGTCAGCTGTGACTTGATGGCACTTTCCCCCATCACCACCATTGCATTAAGCCTACTCAGTGAATGTAACACAGCAGTTTGCTGGAGACAAAATGCTGGAATAGATGTCCCGACAAGACTGCTCCAACAGGGCAATTCTTATGTTCTTATGGCAAGTTATTGTAATGGAGAAAAGATGGTGATGTCAGTAGGTCTGTTCTTAGTAGTTGTGAATATTGCAAAAAGTCCTTCCTACTGGCAAACTATTCCCGTTTTCCTACTCTGAGTCCACACCTTGCAGAAAATGGCAAGTTTATTTTAATGTCTAAAGTATGGTACATTTTTTCCCTCATGATGGGAATACATGGATCAAACAGATATATCACCTATCTACTCATGGCATGAAAATCAATGCTTGAAAAAGTTTGTATATACACTGAGCAAGAAAAGTGATAATTTTATTTATAATATCATTGTCTTTGTTAGTTACTCTTCAACGTATCTGAAAAAACTAGTTAACGAAACTGAGAAAGCTATTATCTGAAGAAATGAACTCACTGTATCTTTTTTTGAGACATTTGTTAATGAAAGGTTAGTCTATTAGTCTATTAGTCACCTGCTCTAATCATTGATATATTTTTGGGGTCAGATTCTGCAATTTTGCTCTCTCACCATGAAAAACATTTGTGCCACACTTTATACACTATTATAAAATATATTCCCTTATCTACTTGTAGAAACATAGGAACTTTTAAAAACAGATTTACAGTGGGAATGGTTGTTTTATGTATAAGGGTGGAAAGGGAAAGTTACTCTGTTTTAGGAACAGAGTCACACAATCATAGGCCGCGTTCAGACTGGCAGTTTGGCCCGGCAGCCAAACGCTTCAGGACCATTTCATTAGCGGATTAAAGGGGTAGGTTCACGAAGGCACATCTTTCAGGCATCAAGCTGTCTTGTGCCGCCTCCCTCCTGAGTTTAAAAGATACCTGGTGGAAGTGGTAGCAAACCGTGTGGTGCACGGGTTGATTCCGGTTCCCTGAGTGTGAACGCAAGCGCTGCTAAGGCGGGAACAACCTGCAGTTGATAATAGGCGCTAGCTGGTTCTGCGGCAGGCACCTATGCGCATGTGCACATATGCACATGACCAGGACGCTCCAGCGCACCAAATAAAAGCTCCACCCAGGCAGTTGCCTGGGAGACAAACCAGCAACATGGCGGCCGCGCGAGGACCCTCCTGGAGAAGGTCAGACATTGGCACTAGTGGAAGTGTGGAGTCGATCCTGCCCTATTTGCTGCTGCGCCCATGTGCCCATGCGCATAGGCGCATGCAGCCAAGTATGGAAAACACGCTAACAGCCTGTCAGGGGCGGGCCAACAGTGCAAACGCTCCCTTGTGCTTCCTCCATGGTATCCTCCCGCTTCATTCACTGCAGTGTGAACAGGAATACCAGGAACAAGCCGTTCAGGGTCTGTTCTGGGTCTTCTTTGCCACGACTCCCTAGCGCTTCAAACTGCCAGTCTGAACGCAGCCATAGAATCATAAAACTGGAAAGGGCCATACAGGCCATCTAGTCCAACCCCCCCGCTTAATATAGGATTAGTCTAAAGCATCCCTGACAAGTGTTTGACCAGCTGGTGTTTGACGACTGCCAGTGAGGGGAGCTCACCCCCTCCCCAGGCAGCCGATTCCACTGCTAAAATATTCTTACTTAAAAAAATTGTTTCTTTTCCACTTGTAATTTAAATCCATTATTGTGAGTCCTCTCCTCTGCTGCTAACAGGAACATCTCCCTGGCCTCTCTAAGTGACAGCCTTTCAAATAATTAAAGAGAGCAATCATGTCCCCCTCAACCTCTTCTTTTCCAGACTGAACATTTCCAAGTCCCTCAACCTTTCCTCATAGGGCTTGGTCTCCAGGCTCCAATCATCCTCGTTGCTCTCTTTTGCACCTGCTCCATTCTGTCCACTTGCTTTTTGAAGTGAGGTCTCCAGAACTGCGCACAGAACTCCAGGTGTGGCCTGACCAGTGTGGTGTACAGCAGCCCTATGACTATGACATAGGGGTGGATCCTAAGCATTAAATCTGAGACAGTGCTAATGTAAAGAAACTTTCCTGCTACAGCTTTTGAGGTTCCCAGAATCCTGCTTCTGGGGGCTGGTGGGAGTTGACAAAACTCCTGGGTGCCTGTGGATATCTGGGCACAGGTTGATACAGAATTGGTGGAAATCTAGTGGCAGTGAGTCTTTGGATCCAGCCCATAGGGTTTCAAGTCTGACTTCAAGTCCCAATTGAAATGTGATGCCAAGCCAAAAAACATTACCTATGGGTTTTGTTTAAACCAGGCCCCTTACCTGCACCTGCACTATTTATATTTCAGAAAGGGATCCGTAGTTGGGATGTGTGTGCTCATATGCTCACTTCGCCTGGTTAGTGGCTGAGGGCCTAATTGAAATGAAATGCTGGGTGCATGAAACCTGGTTAAGCGCTTTTTGTTTGCCCAACGTCACGCCTAAATCAGGCCAAATCTATGCAGATAAAACTGACAGGCATTTGGCCTACATGCTGCACATTCATGCATAATTTAGCAGAAACATTCTAGGATGCATTATTTATGGCTCGATCAAAAGTCCTATGAAGTTGGTGGGAAAATTGTAATTGACTTCAGAGAGGTCTGGATCATCAAATTTGTAAGAACAGGGCAGATGGCTTAATCATTTAAATGTACTGAAGACTTCAGAATCAACTGTGAGTCAAAAGGAAATGTGACAAAAAGCCAAAGTTAATTAGCAGAATTACACACTGAAGGATTGAAGGGAATGTAATATGAGTGCTGAATGAGTGTCTTTTATAAATGACAATCTAAATTTACAGACGGGTCAGCTACTTATTACACATATCCTCCAAAATACTGATGAACAGAAAGTCAAGGGAAAAATAAGAACATTTGTTTGCCCTGTTGGGGTTGTGCATCGGGTTTTGGATCTCATATACAATAACAATTGCTGATCTTACTGCTAGGGTAGTTTAATCCAAAATACAGCATTAGGTGAGGATTTCAAATTTGTGCATCACCATGCATGTAGTAGATGTCCTTTAGCATGCTGTTTTCTACCAGTTCTACTTCACAGGTTTAAAATGGGGTTAAGTTCAGTATGGAGATGTTGCCTGGCCTGTGGGGTAAGGATTTGCAAAATGCTTTATGCCTAAATAGTGCTGTAAACATTTTAGATCTGAGAGCCATTTGAGAGCCAGCTTGGTGTAGTGGTTAAAAGCAGACTCTAATCTGGAGAACCAGATTTGATTCCCCACTCCTCCACATGAAGCCAGTTGGGTGTCCTTGGGCCAGTCACAGTTCTCTCAGAACTCTCTCAGCCCCACCTACCTCACAAGGTGCCTGTTGTGGGGGAGAGGAAGGGAAGGCAATTGTGAGCCACTCTGAGACTCCTTCAAGTAGTGAAGAGTGAGGTATAAAACCTACTCTTCTTCTAGATTACTTTTGACTGAATTAACTCCAATTTGTACTCATAGCTGTCTCCTCCTCATATACCTTAGAAATTTTTTAAATGATACACAGAGTAAAGGTACATCTTATGTAAGTAATTATAATAGATTGTTTCTCTGTGAACATGCTCTTGGAAAACACAATGAAGAAACTGCTATTCTGATGATGCAATTTATGAAAAAGGTACAAATGAAGAAAAAACAATGCTTTTTATAAAACAAAAAAAGCCAATTTCCTTGTTCTTTTTTGACAAGAAAAGTACCAAAATGCCTGGTAAATCCAACAGAAATAAGTGCTGGACTTTTAGGATGGTATATCACAAGCTGTTAAAACAATTATTTTTAAAACATGTGATCAAGCTTAAAAGAGAAAGGCCAAGATATGTCAATCCATCTTTTAACCTTGCTAATCTTAGGCATCCATATGTAAACTAGGGGGAAAGGAGAGAATCCATATATGCTATAACCCTTGTAACACCATGTGCCAATGTGCAATCACAGTTGAACGAGCCAAGAAAGAAAAAAGCTTACCCAGAATGCTTCATGTTTTGAGGTTTATCCATTCGGACTGCAAGTTTGATTTTCAGATCATGATCGGGGCAGTTTTTGGAAACAGCCATTTTGTGCCACTCAGATTGTTTTGGACTGTTTGGTGTTGGATGAAGAACCACCTGAATATGACAAAGATCAGAAAATTAATACTTAGTGGATTTACTGAGAACTAAAATTTGACCAGGCACTATGGTTAATGGATTGGGTGTTTTCTGATTCATCCACAATTTTGCCATATCAACATAATAAAACAGCAGGTCAACATTCTGGGGGAGGGCCTGGAGCTCAGCAGTAGAGGACTTCTTTCCCCATTTGTAAGGTCCCAGGCAATCCAGGGCATCTCTAGCTAAAAGGACATGAAGTATTAGATACTGAGAAAGACTTTTCTTTACCTGTGAACTGGAGAATCAGTGTCAGTTAGAGTACACAGTACTAAGCTAAACAGACTAGTGATCTGACTTGGTATATGGCAGCTTCATGTTAAAAAACAGTTATATAACCTCTAGACTGCACTCTGTTCTGTATTATGTAGATTTTTTTTACAGACTAGAGACAATAAGAATGTAATAAAAGACAGAACTTCCATGTCATTTGATCAATAGCATCCTTAAGACCATGCGAACCTTTCCTGAATAGTGTTGAGAACTAGTATTCAGATACTTTGAGTGGACGGAGCCTCTTCCTTAGAGAGAGCTAGAGTAGAGAGTGATTTCTCACTCTGCTGGACAGATAAGATCCAAAAGGTCAGATTTCAAGACCTAGAAGTTCTGATATGCACACAAGAATCTGACTCCCTCCCCAGAAATCTGAAATGAGGGACCAGATTTGTATGTGCAATTTTTGTTCTAAAGGATCTGCTCTTTTAGTTGAGGGAAACGACCTTCCTTTGTTTAGGTGTATCTTCAAACTGTAAATTTATCACAGAAGTTGAGATAATCAATTAGGAGAGTTTATGCCATGTATCATATTCTGTTTGAGATTCGGTACATACAGAATTGCAGAAGACAATAAGTTTCGATTCTGCCCTCTAATCTGAAAGCACTCTTCTTTTGTGAGAGGTTTCTGAACCACAGGCATACTTTTCATTTAACTGCAGGATTTTGAATGGAAGAAACCTATCAAGTAGCAGTATCTTATTAAGAGAAACAAAACATTTCAGTTCCCATTGAATGTGTAATATTCAAACAATCACAATTAAGAAAAAGACGGCATTGCATCAATTTGCAGAAAGCATGAAGGTTTATTTAAAAATAGTCATCAAACATGACAAGAAGAAAACATACAAATTATAACTGCCGGTAAGCTAATTCATAATTGCAATTGTTGGTTATCACAACATAAAAAGATGAAAACCACTTATATTTATACATATGATTCATTATTTGATAAAGTGAGGCTAACTTGCATGTGGGCTCGAAACAAAAAAACAAGGCTAATGGAAAGATAAACAAACCAAAAAAAAGAAAAGAAAAGAAAAAAGAAAATGTTAGCACTATGTTAAAAATTATGGGAGGATATGTAGATGGTTAAGAAGATATATGTAATTTGCTATAATGAAAAAGCATATTTATTTAGGAAAAGAACAAAAACTTGTTTTATCTGCTTCCCACACTTTTTTGGGATTGTTTCCTCTCTCCTTTATTTTTTGGAAATGCTGGTGAACACACACATTTTTACAACTTTTCACTCCTAAAGCCTGTTTCAATGACTTGAGAGGTAAAAATCTCATTATTAACCCCTTTACAATTCTGCACTGAGATTAATTTTTCTCTTAATGTGTTAACCTTTGAGGGTACCTTTTTTCTTTTTTCTTTTCTTTTCCCCATCTAGCTGTATTTGCCTAACTTTGACACTCAGCCTTATGATCCTCATATCCTCTTGATTTTCAGCAGTGCTGCTGATTCAACGGACTGTAACATTTGAGTTCTGCACTGACATTAAAATATCTCATGCAACGATCCTGGCAATAACCTAACTCTAATTATTGTTTAAATATGGCATATAGGGTGGCTGAAATCAGTACAAAGATTCCTTTGGCTCCAGCAGAAACATTCTATTAAATCATACTGTCTCTTCATTTTCATTCACTCACTATGGTCAAACAAATGAGGCCTTATTTTCCGCAAAGATACACCTGTAATTTAGAGGCTGTCTCCCGCAATATGTCCCACAGCAATCTCCATGACCAACAAGGGATATTTATTGGAAGTGCTCTTCCACTCAGCATGTAAGAATAAGGAAAGTTTGTACAGAATTATTCTTTGAGGCAATTGCCCAACAACATCCAAGGGGTGCTGGCCAAAGAATGCACAGATATATCCTTCTTGTTTCAAATGGAAAGTACTACCTATGAGCAGGTGTTTGGAGACTATTTTGGATCAAAATAATGGAGAACCTAATCAGTATTTTTGTATGAAAAAGGTGCCAGAACTCATATATAAGGTTGTGCTGATTTCTACCAATTCCTCCCTCCCTCTGCAGAATCCAACTGGGCTTTTTCTGAAGGTCTGCTGTCTCTCTCTCTGGCATAATGGGATGGGCTGGCAAATGATGACCAGGACTTGGGAGAGCCCTGAAATAAGGTGTTGGTACTCAATACCAATGAGTATTGTCAAAAAAAGCCCTGTCATAATTGTTGAACTTGTGATTCACCAATCTGAAAGAAGAACACCATCCATATATTGTGCCTTGTCAATGGTTTGAACCGCCCCCCACCTCCATGTAGTTAAATACTACTGCAGCAAAACCAAGAAGTTTATAATAGAAAGCGATAATTCACCATAAGTGACAGAAGTAGGGTTCGCTTGGTGAATCATGAACTTGTCCTTCATATGGTTATCATGGGACTGGTCTGTTAGTACAGAAACAATTTCTCAGTGTTTTCAGACTTCAGAGACCCTTTCCTTACTTTCGGTGCTAACTGCTAGTGCCATGGAACAGTGACTCGAGACTCATGGACATTATCCCTTCTTGTCCTGTCCCCCCCCCCCCACCTCAGTTAGATTGGAAGCATTACAATCGCCACTGAAAGGCAGGCAAAACCTTTTTGTTCTAATCAAGAACAAATCTGGTATTAAGCACTTTTGTTGTTAAAACTCCCTGGTTCTGCTTCCTTTGAGATATTACTGCCTTCCTCTGCTCATCAGCTAAAATGGCTTGTATCTATTTGAAGAGCTAAATCAAGGACAAAGTGTTCTTTTGGAAAGAATAAAAATTAATCCCCAAATCCATCTCCTCAACTGTAAAGGACAAGTAAGTGCCATTTACCTGACAAGACTTTTAGTCTGGATGTGAAGAGTCTCCCTTCCAAGTTATTTGAATGATAAGAAGGGACAAGGGATTCTCAGTCTAAAGCAAATTACTAAGTGGTGGGCTTTTGAGAAATAAATTAGGGAGTCTACAAAATTCCCTGCTGAACATTGTACATTAAACAGTTGGTATGGTTCCTTTTTGACTGGCTTTCGAGCAAGGGAAACCTTTACGTTACCTTTACTATGGTTCCTTGGTCAGAGGGAAGGGGGCAGTTTGAACCTATATGGTTTGCTTGGCACAGTGGGGGGAAATATCTCTTTTCAAGTGGATTGAGCTCTGAGCAGGAGCAGGAGAGAGAGCTGTGAGAGAGGTGAGTGGGTTTCTTTTACTTGCTTTCAGCTGAGAGAATTCAGCTAAGGATATTTTGTGGGAAAACTGTGTTTAGCAGTGTGTGGAAGCACTTAGAGTTCTTGCAGAGTCCTGGCTGATTGAGTGTGGGAGAGGAACGGGCACTGTTTGACTGGGATTGCCTGTAATTGAGAGGAAGTGGAAGGGGCATTGTTTTGCCTGTGATTGAGTGCCTGGGTGAATTTGAATTTGAATAGCTGCTGCCTGACCTCTGCTGGGGGAGGCCTCTATTTAAGGAAAGGGCGAGCTAAAGGGCTCTTTGCCTGTGGCTCTTTGCCTGTGGCTCTGTAAGAAGCCCAAAAAGAGCCAGAAAGACAAGGCCCTAGGCTCTTTGTCTTTCCCGTAAAATAATTTGACTTTGATAACAAAAACCACATAAATACCAAGGGTTTAAAAGGGGATTATATTTATTTATTTTAAAAGAATTATGAAGCCAGAATGCCAGCAGGGGGTTGGGGGCTATCCAGTGTTTTGCACGGAGTGTCACATGTATGACTATCTGCCCACTGGGCAGAAGTCTTGGGTGTGTCCTCGGTGCAAGGAGCTCCTGGTTCTCAGGGAACGTGTGTGCTCCCTTGAGGCCAAGGTGGCTGACCTGGAGAAGCAGAGACAGTCAGCTAGGCACACAGAAAAGACTCTCGGGGACTTGTTAGCTACGTCCCACTCTGGATCTGGCAGCCCCGCTGCTGTCAGGGAGCATGAGGGTCTAGGGGAAACAGGGCACCGTGCTGAGGATAAGGGGAATGTGCCCTCAGAAGGGACCTCTTCCCCAGCTGGTGAGCGGCTCTCCTTTTGCACCAAGGAACCATCCCTGAGCAGGGTGGGAGGGGGGCTCTTGGTAGTGGGTGATTCGATCCTTAGGCAGGTAGACAGCTGGGTGGCGAACCCGCGTACTGACCGTATGGTGACTTGCCTGCCTGGTGCGAAGGTAGCGGACATTACGCGTGTTTTAGATAGGCTGGTAGATAGTGCTGGGGAGGAGCCAGTGGTCGTGGTGCATGTCGGCACCAACGATGTGGGGAAATGCAGTCGTGAGGTCCTGGAGGAGAAATTTAGGCTGCTGGGCAGGAAACTTAGGTCCAGGACCTCCAAGGTAGCCTTCTCAGAAGTGTTACCTGTTCCACGCGCAGGGCCGGAGAGACAGGCAGAGATCAGGAGTCTCAATGCGTGGATGAGACGATGGTGTAGGGGGGAAGGGTTCAGGTTTGTTAGGCACTGGGATACTTTTTGGAACAAGAGGGAGCTGTACAGGCGAGACGGTCTCCACTTGTCCCGAGAAGGAACCAGGCTGCTGGCACTTAAAATCAAAAAGGTGGCAGAGCAGCTTTTAAACTGAATATTGGGGGAAAGCCGACAGGAGATGAAAAGTCTCTGGTTCGGGTTGGCTCATCTGAGAGAGGTGAGGGGGTACCGGTTGCTTTTCTACAGGGAGGTGGATTGAAATTGTCCACAGAGGCCA